ATGACACATATTTTAAATGTTCACAATTGTTCACATAATGCATCCCACTGTAGAAGACTGCTTGATTTTAACACTACGCTTACTGATAACATCCCATATAAAGTAAGATTTTGGTTGCACCTGACCTACTTGGCTATTCACTCTCTAACTGTTTATATCACCCTGACCCAACTGTATAACTCTTCTTAATACATTAATTAGTTGAGTTTTCAATTAGGTGTACATATCTAAAAAATCAAGTCTAAAAACATACATTGATTATTTGGCTAGTTTATTTTGCTAATTACTGTTAGGCACAAGTTAAATGACCTATGATTTACATAAATGATTTTATGAAATGCATGGATAAGTATTAAAAACGTGACATTACCCCCCTTTTTGAGAATATAATTACTATATTCTTACTTTGAGAGGGGTGTAATATTTGTATTTGCATAATTGATGATATTGTAGTTGTAATGTTTTATTTGTTAATTTTTCTACAACGTTGTTGCTCCTGGTATTTCACCGATTATCAGATCATATATTGGGTTTTCTATGCATATAGCTTCAGTGTGTCCAGTGAAGTATGGTGTTTCTATATAAATATCTGCCACAGGAGCTGTCTTCACTGTTCTGTCAATCATGACATAATTTTTAGTTTTTCCTGTCATCTGTCTTTTCTTCACAAGACTGGCTCTTACTACAACTCCGCTGCATCCTGTGTCTCTGAACACTCTAACACGTTCTGTTCCTATAAATCCAACTTCATTAGGTAGTTCTGACATTTTTCCTGGTGTAATTTCACAATTGCAAGCTGAACCTACAACGTCTATTTTACAACCACATGTTAATGTAAGTGGCAATCCAGGCTGGATTTGGCAATTATGTTCATCTGGCATAATCTGGCAGGATGCTGTTTGTAGTTCATTATCATTTTTTGTATGATTTTGTTTATTCTCTTGATCAGAGTCTGTATCTGTGTCTGTATCCGAATCTGTTAACACTACAGCTGCTGATCTGGTGATATTTCCTCTGTTTCTATTTTTTGGACAGTCTTTAGCGATGTGACCCTCCTCAAAATAAATATAACAGGTTCGTTTGCTATCTACATTTGTTTGTCTGATTGTATTTTCTTTCACTGTTGCATCTTCATTGTTATCTCTATCACTGGTTTCTTGTTTCGACTTATCATATCTGGTTGTGTTTTCTCCATGATCTTCTCTTTGAAGACTATTCATTCCTCTTGCCTTAGCATATCTTTCAGCTTGTTCTATTACATTGTGTTTTGTCTGTATATGATGTTCTCTTATAAATGTTGCAGTGTTTCTTCCACAAGTGTTTAAGAACTGTTCTCTGATAATGAGGTCACTTATTCCTTCAAATGTTTTATCAATCTCAGCAAGATCAGTCCAACGATTAAAGTAGTTTTCTATTCTGGCCATGTATTGCGATGCTGTTTCACCATTCTGTGGACGGCTTGAAAAGAATTTCTTTCTAAAACCAACTTCAGTCATTTGATATCTTTTAAGTAACGCTATTTTCAAAGCGTCATAGTCATTACATTGTATTTCAGGTAATCTAGTGTATACATCTAGAGCATTTCCTTTCAGTAGAGCACTGAGATACATTGCAAAATTCTCGCGTTGCCAATTTTGTGTATGAGCATAACGTTCAAATCTGAGCAAGTATGCATCAATATTGTCAGTACTTTCATCAAATGCCGGTAATTTTGGTATTTTGGGAGTATATTGGTTTATATTTTCATTTCGTCTGTCTACTTGAGTGTCTGTGCTTTCAATGTTCATTCTTTCAAGTTGTAGTTGTAGTTGAAGTTCAGTTTGTCTCTGTTTCCCCAGTTCTATGTTTCTGTTAAATTCTCGTTCTCTCATTCTTTCCAACCTGTCTTCTTTCTTCTCTTGGGATTTTACAATGAATTCTTCAAGTCTCTCACCACTGTATCCTAATTCTTTCCCCAGTTTGAAAAGTTTTTCTATTTCTGATTCTCCGGTGTATGTATCATAATCTAGTTCTGCCATTTTTATGTTGTTATGTGTGTGACAGATATACTGTATGCGTTATTTGTTTAATAAATATTTGCGATATGTATATGTACAAATATATTTTGATGCCTATTTAGGTCTAAATTGGTGCCTTTAAAACTATTATAAACTTAAACTATAATTAAAGTATATACAGCTAATTTGTGGTTTTTTATAAATGAAGACGAGCCCCCATTGTCACGTTTTAAGTCTTAAGGTTCTTATTATCTACTTAAAACTACAAAAAAGTAGGTTAAAATATATACAATGCAATTTTATTAAATGATTTTTACTCAAAATAATTGGGTAGGTACCTACGTAAGGATTAATTATGAGATATGTACAATATAATATAAAAAAATGTCATTAATTTATTCTATATGTGGTCAAAGCAATATGTGATAATTTGCTGATATCACACTAATAATTGTTTTAAGTATGGTTACATATAAAGTTCACAGATCCTTCGGTATATATCACGTATCACGTTTCGTCGATCGCTCTGAGATTAAATCTACTCGACTTTGCGTATCATATCCATCTGCCGTAGGTGCTACTGTGTCCCAATATGATATATATATATCTTTTATTTACGACTGTAGTTCTCGGATCACACTGCCAATATACATGTCGTTTATATCAGTTGATTTCATCTATTGTTCATCAATCATATATTCGCGCTAGTATATCATCTATCGTTCGCCAATCATGCACGCTAATGTATATCACCTATTGTTCACCAATCATATATTCACTCTAATATATGATATATTGATCACCAAACATGCTATTGTTCATGCTATAGGTACGAAAAATTTCGAACGGAATGCGTGACATATACGTAATTCGCGTGAAAAGTCCGAACGAAATGCGTACGTTTTTTTTCGGCGTTCGTATTTTTGCTGTGTAGACGATCTTTTTTAGAAATTTTTCTACAGAAATATTTTTGCTTGACAATTACCAGGTAAAATGCGTATTTGCGTGACATTTTCTGTCACGCAAAATAACTGGCGTGACTTCAAATTCTCCAGCAAATGCGTGACAAATACGCAAATTGCAGGACAGTTGACAGGCCTGCTACTAACATGCGTATCCTATCACGCTAACACATAATGTATATGACACATATTTTAAATGTTCACAATTGTTCACATAATGCATCCCACTGTAGAAGACTGCTTGATTTTAACACTACGCTTACTGATAACATCCCATATAAAGTAAGATTTTGGTTGCACCTGACCTACTTGGCTATTCACTCTCTAACTGTTTATATCACCCTGACCCAACTGTATAACTCTTCTTAATACATTAATTAGTTGAGTTTTCAATTAGGTGTACATATCTAAAAAATCAAGTCTAAAAACATACATTGATTATTTGGCTAGTTTATTTTGCTAATTACTGTTAGGCACAAGTTAAATGACCTATGATTTACATAAATGATTTTATGAAATGCATGGATAAGTATTAAAAACGTGACAGTACCTAATCCCTTATTCTTTTTAGATTGCTGTGTCGTATTTGTGTAGATTTGTTTATATTTTCCCCTGTAACTTCACCCTTTTGACACTAGACCTATCATTTTATCATACTCCTGACACCGATTCATCACTTACCTCATTAGTAATTTCTTATGAAGTACTAGTCCAATTTCCCTTTGTTCTGGCTCACACTACCTATTTCTATAATTCACTTCCGGGTTATTGGACAGTATTTTATATATTAGTTCACATCGTCTGGAACACTAACTTAGAATTTACAGCCAGTTACTAATGTCAGACGTTAACGACATTTCGTCCATTTTTCGAACATCGCCATTTTTCTTGGAGTCATTTTGTTTTAATTTTAGACGAAATCCTGATGAAATCATGTCATATCTCATCTGTAACATACCATCATCTCAGTTAACCCGGAAGTTAAGTCAAATCAAAACAACTATATTTTCACTTACCTTCGATTACTTCCAAACATTATGCTTCTATGAATACCTTTGAGTCATCTCTAATGAACCATGAACCATGATCTATGAACCATATTGGTAAACTGCGAGGAGAAAGTTGCAAACATTTCATATTTGTTGACAAATCTTCTAAATTTAGAACATGATTATTGAGGAATCCCCTAAGAAATTCCCTATTTAAAGCGAGGCTGTTTTGAGAAATCCATAGTTGATTTTCGCATCCATTCATGCTATCGAGTCGAGCAAATACACGATCACGAATGGGGGAGCTCTACTTTACCCGTTTCAAATCTTTTACCGAAGAAGGCCGAGAAAAATTTTTCCGAGGAGTACCGATTCTTCTTCAGGAAGAATAACGAGCCTCTCTTTCACTTCCATCGCCATATTTGAAGGGTAAGACAAATTTTTCATATTTGGCTTTAATTTTAGTGAAAGCTTACAATTTCAAGATAGATTTGACACAACCTCATTCCCAAATTAATCTGTTTGGTTTGCTTAATCAATTGGTTTATTGTTTTAAGCCTGTTGTATGCATAATATTCTTAAAATACGTTAATTAGATCAGAGTAAGCCCGGGAAAATTCAAAAATTAGCCTATATTATTTCATTTGAAATAATGTAGCCCTACTGGGTAGGCTTGTAAAAGGTGTTCATTTTGATAGACTACCAGTAGCTCTACTATTCCATATAATATAGTCTCTCAAATCATAAGACGAACATTTCATTGCTCAGATTGTCGCTGATGGTTTGGCAAGATCCAGATTCCAGAAATAGATCTGATAAATTGAATTAGCGAATATCACTAGCCTAGATTTATGTTATCCTGAAAGGTATTCAAACATGAATGGGTGAATTTGAATAAACCAATCATAAGGCATAGCTAATAATGAACGTTCATTAATTCTCCATACAAGCACGACCGTGCTATATTCAATATTCAATCTGATGTACAGTAGATGTGTAATTTTTCAGGAATCCAACATGACGATAGCTGCCTCTATCGATCCATTAGCCAAATGATGTATGGGCATGATCGCACCTACCATGCCCTGAGAGTTTGCTCTACAACATGGGGTGCAGCTCATTTAGATGAACTCGTTACCAAGGTATCTCATAGTAACATAGATCTATAATGTTTAAACTTGTAAATATTGGTATATAGCCTTGAACTCCATTGAATTAGTTATTAAGTATCAAAAACCTTAAAAAATATTCAGTTATATGCAGAATATATTGAACCACTTTTCATTACCTGTATGTAACACCAATGTGAAAATGGCAATTACAAAGAAAAACTATTTGTCTGATAATATATTATACATTGACACTACCTTATTATTTAAATGTTCAGATCTGTAGTGGCCTAGAATCGTTGGAAGATGTCCTAAGCTGGGCTACTACAAATGCCAGCAGTTGCAGTATCCCAATATACAGGTCACTGTCCATCCAGGAAAATGTCAAACAGATTGTCACTGTGGAGATCCTAAAATCGTTTTTGTACAACAGTGATGCAGGTTTGTACTTCTGCACAAATTGGCATTGTGGGTTTGGTGGTCTTTGGTGGGTTTGGGTTTGGCAGTTTGGTGGTCTTCTGCATTGGGTGGTGTTGATAAAGCTACTTGCGTTGTATTTATAAATGTAAAATTCTTTCAGTAAAGGATTCCCTTGAATTTTATATGAACTTTGGAACGAAAACTTTTGAATTCATGTCTACCTGTATGTTTTAAAATGAGTGAATTTTCGTAATCATGCAGCAATACATATTTCTACAGGATCCATGCAGACGATGATGCTGGCTGGATGGTTGGGTCGAGACATCAATGTACACTCCACAATGCCAGGCATACCACAAATGCGCAAATTTGATCCACTGCCATCATCCCCTCGACCACTGCTAGAACCACTTGATATTTTGTTTGTACCATCTGACTATCACAGAAATCCTCCCGTGTAAGTAGCAGTTCTTCTTTCTTTTTCATCCATCCAAGCAGTCACTCATTATTCATTTTCATTTCTTGTTAATTTTTTGGCACCCCTTTATTCAATATCCGGAGTCTACCTAGCTAGATATATAATATCTTCTAAGCCATGCTTCTAGTGTAATGGTCCTATTAGCAAACTAAGTATTTTTTTCTATTTTTTATTTAGACCTGTCATTTGCTCCTAGAGTTTGATAATTAATTTATTATTGTTAAATATAGGTATAACCACTACCAGCCCTTCCCGGCATTTAGCGACGCAGAGAGAGTACTCATTGAAAATGAGTGTGCGGCTAGCTACCAAGACCCCACATGTTGCAATGGGGAAGGAATCAGCCAACAGGTCAATTGGGTAATGTGTGATAGCTGTAGGCGATGGTATCACATGACCTGTGCTGGTGCCAAGGGGAAGGATGATTTCTTTTGTGGTTGCAACATGAAGCTAGACCACAAAAAGTAAGTCAATATATTAGTAAATTATTTCATCACGCACTGTTTACACTGTTAAATTAAGGTACATTTTTACATCTTTAAAAGTTATTCATCTTTTAGAGGTGTTTGCCTTTACAGGTTACTACTGTACATAATGAGTTGTAAAATGTAATTATTGTGCTCATATTTCAGATTGGTGATGCCAGCATACCCAAAGACAAGACTTGCTGCCTATGTAGCAAACAAGAAACATGAAATTCAGGTATTCACATATAGTGTATAATAGTATATTTCTTAACCAAAACCATTAGGACCCATTCAGCATGACTAAATACAAAGTCAGCAGATTTCTTCTGGAATATTTATGATTAGAATTTTATTGGCTTAATACCTTGTCTGGAAGGGACTTTTCAATTTAAGATTCAAAATTGCAGCCATTTTCATAAAATATCTTTGATAACTGAAATACAAGTATTGAAATATATATGTAGAAACTGTTATATCTGTATATTAATAATTGAAATAATGAAATAAATATTTGTTCAAGGATTTGTGCTCCAAGCTGATCAGTAAGAAATTGCCTTCTTGGCGTTATAACATCCTTGCAAAGGAGGCAGAGAGGAGGCACTTGTCTACGCATATGATAACACTCCCATTCCGTATGCAGATGGTTTGCTCATCAATGTCAGGCATATCTGTCCTGAGGGAAAGCTCAGTATGTATACATTGGTCTACTAATTAGCTTCGAAATCTTGTTGAAGTCTACTTTTAACGAGATTTTAACGAGATTTTAGGAGATATGCATTTAAAACAATTGAAAATGAACACTTTCTTTTGTATGATGGCATTTTCGAATTATCTATGTATTTTTCACAGTGTAAAAAAGCCATAAAAGTTCATGTATTCAACCTGTGCTGGCATATATGGTTCATTAAAAAATCTTGTTTTGTTAGCTGTTTTCATGATTTCCAATGGTCACAATGGTCATTGATGGATTCCTCTCAAATTCAAGCCATGCTGCCCATGTCACTAACTATTGAAATTTGACACATTTCAGACAGAGTTGGTCCTTGACTGCGTAAGGAATTTGCGGGAGGTCAGCGAGGACTTTGCTCAATTTGTACTTTTTCCTGAGGTAAGTATGTAGATGTCAATAATGCAACATAACACCTCAAAATATCAGTATTAGGTTTAAAGAGCATTTTTTAAATGCGTTGTAGCAAATATTGCAATTTATTTTCAAGAATTTGACGTTTTGATGTCTCCTTTGACCCCCATTAACTTTTTGATACCAAAATTTGTCTCACTCGATACAGTATTGCCCAATATTAGACCAATATTATGCACATACTCATATAAGTATACTTTTTTTTTTACTCATAGGTGCTGATATATTTATTCATGGACTTAGACAAGACCACCCGACTGCAAGCGGAGCAAACACTTTCAACATGGAAACGATGAAGCGCCATACACAGATACAGGAACATTTGTACGTGGATTTCTTGGACTTTACAAACTCGTATATGTTCAACTTTTGTGTATATAAATGTAGACAAATGTAACACCCTACATGTGATTCTACCTTGTATTTCTTACAGGGTGTTATGTTTTTAGTACTTTCTTCTGATCAAGTTCTTGACTTGCCCACTTTTTGTGTTTGGTTTCCTCTGCCGTGGAACCAATGGGTAAATTAGGAGCTTGATCAGAAGAAAGTACTTAAAATGTAACACCCTCTCCTTGTTTTTTTTCTTTTATAGGATGTAATGTTTTTAGTACTTTCTTCTGATCAAGTTCTTGACTTGCCCACTTTTTGTGTTTGGTTTCCTCTGCCGTGGAACCAATGGGTAAATAAGGAGCTTGATCAGAAGAAAGTACTTAAAATGTAACACCCTCTCCTTGTTTTTTTTCTTTTATAGGATGTAATGTTTTTAGTACTTTCTTCTGATCAAGTTCTTGACTTGCCCACTTTTTGTGTTTGGTTTCCTCTGCCGGGGAGCCAATGGGTAAATTAAGAACTTGATCAGAAGAAAGTACTAAAAGTGTAACACCCTCTCCTCTCTACTTGTGATTCTTCCTTGTATTTCTTACAGGGTGTTATGTTTTTTAGTACTTTCTTCTGATCAAGTTCTTGACTTGCCCACTTTTTGTGTTTGGTTTCCTCTGCCGTGGAACCAATGGGTAAATTAGGAGCTTGATCAGAAGAAAGTACTTAAAATGTAACACACTCTCCTTGTTTTTTTTCTTTTATAGGATGTAATGTTTTTATTAGTACTTTCTTCTGATCAAGTTCTTGACTTGCCCACTTTTTGTGTTTGGTTTCCTCTACCAAGGAACCAATGGGTAAGTTAAGAACTTGATCAGAAAAGATTTCTAAAAAATCATCTTCTATATCCTTTGTTTGTTTAAATTTTATTTTGCCCTGCCATTATTTTTATTATGATTGGACATTCGCTAATGGCAGGGCCAGCACTCAATAGTTCTCAAAGTCATTGTTTTCTGAAATATGTTTATATTACAGTACATTCCATTCTACTTGAATGGTTTGCATGCACTCTGCAGCACATTTCATTACAGTTGCTCTTCGCCAACTTTGCCAACTTATTTACTCTTTTTACATATCATTTACTTTGCATCATTGAGTGCTGTGCCCCTTAAAATCCAACATTTGCGTCCACGTTCGCAAGGGGTGGAAACAGACAACTCTAGGGAATAATGAAGAAAATCCCTACAGTTGTCTGGCTAAAAATGCTCTGGTAAAATGTGAATAGATTCATTGACAAGTAACATTAAATGTTATGTCAATTTAGTTTCAGCTTGGATATGTGAACAATAATAATAAATAACAATAACACTCTATTGATGATCTTTTGTTCCAAATTACAACTTCCCAAATTGGATATTGGAAGTTTTAAATAATGGAGAATGCAAGAAGATTCGAATTACTACTACTGCCTACTGCCCATGAAATCCAGGGACTACTTACTACCTACTGCCCATGAAATCCAGGGACAAATGATCTTTTCTATCAATATACGTGATACTAAACAGTCTATTGTGATGATCAGATTTTTTGTTATCAACCTGGATACTTCACCGAATACTTTATCATCTACAAGATTGATTGGTTCAAGATTATCTACAGAGAAACTCCCTCGATTGGACATTATTTCAGCTGATATTCCTCTTGAAAAATGCTTAAAAATAAGTGGGACTCCCTTTATAGAAACTTTGAATGAATTTACGCTTCTTATGCTGAAATTGATAGTTTATCCATTCATTTTGAGAATATGGTGCACTGGTAGCTCAGAAAAAGTAAACATCTTTGAATTTATTCTCTAAAGGCCTTGTTGGCCTTGAAGGTAAGTTCCGACTATCAGGACTTGAATAACCTTTGCAATGATACATCATTTGAAGTCCATGCCCTAATATGATATACAGTACAGTCAGATTAGCCCTTTATAAATGGAAATGTTTACATCACGGGGTTGTTTAGATGCCACTTGCATTTGTTTACACCACATGGTAATGTTTGTACCACGTGGGTGCTACTTTTAAAGGAATCAAATTCTTTGAAGAATTGTCGGTCGTCCTCGGGTGAGAAATAAGTATATTCGACTGTTCAAACCGTCTTCGAATGAGATTAATGACCACGTGACTCATTTACATAATGACGAAATATTAAACCAATCAAATTCGATGAAATATCTTCGGCCATTTCCGCTAATCATTTCGGTGAACTCCGACTGAGATTTTGTAACACGTGACTTGTCACAAGTCACATGACAGTGAACCAATCAAATTCGTCGAGTTGAAGGCGATTCGGTTCAGGTATAAAAGTCGTCACCCGATCACGAATACAGAGGCATAAAGAATACAGAATATGTGGGTGAGTGAGTTTTGAGTTTCGTCAGATAGAATATTAGATCTAGAAAGAATCTATTGAGATTATAGCTAGATAACTTAGCTTGAATTGAACTGATTGGGAAGTTTGAACTTCCGGGAAAACTTTTGACATTTTGATTGTTTTGATGACATTGAATCAACATTTTCATATCAATTGCTTTGGTTATAGAAGTCTATGAATTGCAATTATACTTTCACACGAAATATAAAGGCCGTAGCGGAATGAATGATTATATCAGGGTTGGATTAATGAATTGAATCTTTTAGCGCCATTTAGAAAAGCAGACGGCTTTTGTTGATATCACGTGACCTAATGTTTACCAACACTTTCGTTTAACAATTATCGATATTTCCACAGATAGACTTAATTAACAGAAATATTATTGTACAATTTAAATAGAGGTTGAATACTGAAGGAATTTCTTAACATATAGTTTTACACATGTTTCCCTGGAACATCCAGAAGCAACTTGGGGTCAAAGGTTGAATTCCTTGGCTTCTATAAGTCTGAACTTTGCGCGAAGACAATTTATCAACGCAATTAATTCTTACGTTTTCTAGGTTAACTATTTCAAGTCCAAAACTTTTATACAAATATATAGCTCATATTTTGAAGTCATAAAACAATCCCATTTTTAGATTGCATTCTACATGGTAAATTTATGTTGTGATCCTGAATTTACATTCATGAATAATAGAGTGAGATCATTTTAAAACATTACAAATAGTTCAAATATTTCTATATATTTCTATAGCGTTGCGAATTAACATATACAATTTTCACTTTTAACCTCTTGAATCCCAGGCTCTAAAATTGGCATGAAACCAGAGAATTTTTCATTTTTTGCCACCTTTTGACATTTTATTACATACCTACACAATTTTAGATGCTCAGCTTAGTAAAATTGGACGGCAGAGATCATTTCTACACGTTTTAAAACAATTTTTGTGTAAATTGGATGAAAATTGTTCAAATGAGAGCAATTTTTGTGAAAAATTTTGTGACGGATTTTCTCGTCCCTCTTGGCACCAGTCTTATTTCATTTGTGACGGATATATCCGTCACTCTGGGTATTCAAGAGGTTAAATCCATATAATCCTGCATAATTATAATATATTGCATGATCATATATTCACCATTTTTATGTTTTATAATAAAATCATTTATCATATTCATTGTATTCATGTGTGATTTTGTGTGAACCCTTGCCTGCATCCTCACCTAAAATCTACCTATTGCACTTGGGAGAGGGTTAGCTTGCACTTTTCCTTCACATTAATTATTTTGTGTTTGCTTGATTAATGCAAACAATAAAAGACTAGTCATTGCATCACTTTTTACCACGCTTACCATATTATTATAAGTTGTGTATGCTATTCTGACTAGTATTTTATATTGGTGGCAGCCCGTGTTCTTATTGCACGCCTTGTGTGTTTTTGTTGTGATTCTTCATTAACTAATTAATGGTGTTGGTACATTAGTAGTATTTGTTTTGTAGTGTATAATACTTTAGAGTTAGTTGTTGTTGTGTGTGACTACACTATTAGTTTGTGTTGTTAGAAATAGCTCTGATTTCTGTGATTTATTGCTTTCATAAATTTTTGTTGAAACATTGGTGGAGCAGACGGGAAAAATGGAAAATATTGTTAAAAATGAACAATTGTCGACAGTGGATGAGGAATCAACTACCCAGACTTCTCACATTAGTGACCCTGAGAAGTCTGTCCAATTTTTGAGTTACAAAGATGGGGATGTACAGTATGGAGTGAGGATGAAGGTGGATGAGCTATATGTCCATGAAACTGGAGCCCCACTCGATGATACAATTTTTTGGGATTGTAAAATATCAAGTGAGTTTTCTAAACCTCAGTTTGTTAGTACCATAAAAAGATCTTCAGTGGAAGATAACATGATTGATAATGGGTTTAAGATATATTGTGATAACAGTAATGAGAATGTTTTGATTAAAAATGAGAATATAACAACAACTAATGTGGGCAAAGATCATTACAAATCAGTAGATATGGATTTGACATGTGAAAACCTTGATGAGGAAAATATGAGAGTTGGTTATACTGGTTCTCTCAAATGGCCAAGGGGGAATAGGCATGAACTGACTGGGAAGAGATGGGAATTACCTCAACCTTTTAAATCTGGTAAAATTATGGATTCTAATAGAGATCAGTGATACATGGCACACCTGCAGGCAGGTGTAAATTTTCTTGACACCAATAGAACAGAATCTAATTCAACACCTTATAAATCAAATTTGACAGGTAATCAGAATGATGCTGATTTTGATCAATTTGAACAACACATGAGTTCTCACTTACCTTAAAATTCTCAAGAAAATCGAAAATCAACATTTTGTGACCTTACCAATGATCAATGATCTCAGCAACAACAGCATGTTACATCTCATTTGAAAACAACAAACCCTGTGAAATATAGTTCAAGGGGGATAAACGGTAATAATGATGACAATGATTTTGTTCCACAAATTAATACACCAGTGTATTGTGATGAGATGAGTAAAATAAATCGTAATTTTGCGAAAGGTCAAACACAAGTGAGTCATGAACATGACAGTGATTCCAGTTGAAATCAAAGGGCTGGTAATTATACTCATACTCCTTTTCGGTCTAGATATGGCGAAAATGATTGCAGGAGAATTTTTTCTCAAAATTCTGAAAATTCACATTCTGGGAATCAGTCTTTGTTTAATGGTTCCAGGTGTCCAAAAATGAGTAAATATGATGGAAAGTCAAGTCTTACAAATTATTTGGCACAATTTGAGACAATAGCTCTTGAAAGTGGTTGGGATGATAGATCAAAAGCACTCCAATTAGTGGGCCATCTACAAGATAGGGCTTTAGGTGTATTAGCTGACTTGAGTTTAGAGGACAGATTCAATTATGAAAGTTTGGTTCGTGCTTTGAAAGTGAAACATCTCGCGCTAAATTGAAAAAAAAAACTAAGAGGTCGCAATGAAACATTAGAAGAAATGGCTGAAGAAATATGTCGTCTTTCTAGGGAAGCATTTCATGATGTTCCACAGCCAGTTCTTGAAAATTTCGTGACTAGTGCATTTATTGATGCACTCAATGATAAAGATATGGAGAAGCATGTGCAATCAAATAACCCCAAATCCTTGAATGATGCTCTTACTAGTGCATTAAGATACGAATCATTTATGAAAGGTTCGGGCAAACCCCCCCCCCCTGGCCAAAATTTCTTTCAAAATCATGCAGTTTTTCACAATTCTGACTATTTTTTGAGTGATTTTTGGTCACATTTGCCAAAGTGAACCCCCCCCCTAGAATTTTTGGGAAAAGTGAACCCCCCCCCCTTGGAAAATTCTGGCTACGTGCCTGCTGTGTATCGGAAACTAATTTGTCTACACATTGCTTTGTTATAATGAAAGAAACTGTTAAAGTGCCCCCAATGACTGAAATGATTGTCCCGGGAATGGTAAAGTGTCAACAATTGGATAACATACCTTTGTTAATAGAAATGAATAAAACTCTGGCAGATAGAGAGAAATATCCACCCCTGATTGTAACTAGAGGTTTAGTTGATCCAAGTCAACAATTCATTCCTATTAGAGTGGCTAATGTTAGCATGGAGCCCTTATTTCTCTATAAAAATTCACGTGTTGCTATGGGTGAACCAATGTTTGATATTGGGGAATCACGTGTAAATAATATATAGAATGTTGACGCTATTGAAAAAACGGATACTTATCATAAAACATAAGTTCATGCAGAGCATAGAGTACTCGAAACAGGAAATGGAGAGTTAATAGGCTGCTCCAGAGTAAGGCAAGACACGGTCAGTCCTGTTAATTTTGATAAATGTCGGACCCTTTCAGAGGAGGGAGACAATTCAGGTAAATGCTCCAGATTAAGACATGTTATCAGCCAGGTTGATCATAATGATTGTGAATTGAAAAAAATTGTTGATCCTGGGAAGAATGAAAGTGTTGGTTTTATCCCAGATGTTAATCTCAATTTGGATGAAAATGTGGAACCTACATGTAGTAAGGTTGGAGCGCCCATTTTGGATGAATCAATTGAAAATAAGTGTTGTTGTCGGACCTGTTTATTTACTATAAATGTTATAAAGCACAACTCAGAGGTTAGGGTGGTAGAGGGTGATGCCAGCGAGTGCATTGATACACTCACACCAGTGAATGACATATATTCCCCTCATGAATCTGTAGAGAAGCCTGATGAACGCATGTTTAGTGAAGATACTATGATTGATGTTCCTTGTCATATGAAATTACTGGTAGAAAATTCAATTAAGAATTTAAATGAGAATGATAGTGTCAAAGTTAAGGAATTTCTTTGTATACACGAAAATGTTTTCGCTCAGTCGAAATTTCATCTTGGAATGACAGATGTAATTAAACATGAAATAGATACTGGAGACGCTAAGGCTGTTAAACAAGCAGTTAGACGTGTTCCATTATCTAAACAAAAAGAGTATGATGAAACGTTAGATGAAATGATAAAAAACAAACTTGTTAGAGAATCAAAAAGTCCTTGGGCATCGCCAGTCGTGATGGTACTAAAGAAAGACGGTAGTTTTAGATATTGCATAGACCATAGAAAGTTGAATGATTTAACTATAAAAGATGCATATCTGTTGCCCAGAATTGATGAAACTATTGATTCTTTGAATGGTAGCAAGTATTTTAGTTCACTTGACCTGGCTAGTGGTTTTTGGCAACTTTCAATGAGTAATGATGCTGCAGCAAAGACAGCATTTTGTACAAAGAGAGGTCTCTATGAATTTAATGTCATGCCATTTGGTTTAGTCAATGCTCCGGCAACATTTCAGCGTCTTATGGAGTGTGTACTTGCAGGACTTTCCCCTAATATGTGTCTAGTGTATCTCGATGACATAATTGTGTTCAGTCATGATGTTGATGATCACCTTGAGAAATTGGGCAAGGTTCTTGACAAAATTAGTCGGGCAGGCTTGAAGCTATCACCCAAAAAATGTGATTTATTCAAATCCGAAGTGTGTTACTTAGGTCATATCGTGTCACAAGAAGGTGTGAAAATTGATCCTAAGAAAATGGAAGCTATAGTCAACTGGTCAGTTCCAAAGACTGTCAGACAGATTCAATCATTTGTTGGATATTGTTCATATTACAGGAGATTCATTAAGGATTTTTCTGGAATCGCAAGGCCATTGTTCAAATTGACAGAAAAGGGCTGTCCTTTTGTTTGGTCACAAGAATGTCAAGATGCATTTGAAGAACTTAAAAAGTAGGTACATTGGTGCTGCAATGCTGAAATATCCAGATAAGTCAAAAATGTTCATTTTAGATACTGATGCTAGTGCATGTCCAGTAGGAGCTGTTCTTCAACAAGAGGTTGATGGAGTTGAGATGGTCGTGAGTCATTATAGCAAGACACTGTCTAGATGTGAAAGAAACTATTGCGTCACCAGATTAGAATTGTTGGCCGTTGTCAGAGCTGTCAAAATATTTCATCATTATCTTTATGGAAGTCGTTTTAAGATTTGTACGGATCATGGTGCTCTTGTTTGGTTGTTTCGTTTTAAATATCCAGAAGGTCAATTAGCTCACTGGTTGGAACAGTTAGGCCAGTATGATTTTGTTAGTGAACACCGTTCAGGTGCTAAGCATCAAAATGCAGATGATTTGTCAATAAGACCTTGCACAAATTGTACTTACTGTCTAAGGCAAGAGAAACTAGGTAGAGTCATCAGTGAAATAGAGGAAGACGCTAAATTGATTGCATTCAGTGCAGATCTTGGTCAGGAACCTAAGTGTATGGTCATTAAATCAGGGTTGAGTACAGTACCTTTGCCTGGTTCTAACTGGTCCCCTGGTTTGACAAAAGATGATTACTTGCATGCTTTGACAGAAGATCCACAATTGAAAACATTGAGCTCTTGGTTAGAATCAGGGAATAGACCTGATTGGTCGAATATTTCTGACAAATCAACTTTATTGAAACAATACTGGTCACAATGGGATCGATTGAAAATTGTGAATGGCGTGATTTACAGGAAATGGATTCAGGATGATGCTGAAGTTGTAATTTGGCAAATAGTTGTTCCTTTTAAATTTAGTAAAAAAATCATGTCTTCCTCACATGGTGCATTGGACAGTGGTCATTTTGGAGTGAACAAGTCAGTTGATCGATTGAGAGCAAAATACTATTGGGTTGGTTTCAAAGAAGATTTGGCCTGTTGGGTGTCAGCGTGTCAATTATGTCAAAGAAGGAATCCTCCAAATCGTAAACATAAAACTCCTATGAAACAGTATAATGTAGGTGCACCTTTGGAGAGAATTGCCATCGATATTTTGGGACCATTACCAGAAAGTTTGTTCGGTAACAAGTACATTGTATCTATTGAGGACTACTTTAGTAAGATTTTGCAATTAGTTCCAGTTCCAAATCAAGAAGCAAAGACTGTTGCAACCGCTCTGGTATCAAATTTTTTCTGTTTGTATGGTTCACCTATTCAAATCCATTCTGATCAAGGATCTCAGTTTGAATCCAAATTGTTTAATAAAGAGCTTTGTAGCATGTATGACATTCATAAAACTAGAATAATTTCATATGACCCCCAATCAGATGGAATGGTTAAAAGATCCAATAGAACTCTTGAGGCAATGTTGTCAAAAATAGTTGCATCAGATCAGAGGAATTGGGATGAGTGTTTGCTATTTGTTGTAGCTTCATAAAATTCAGCAGTCCATGCTAGTACGGGTTTTACACCAGCTTTTTTGATGTTTGGTAGAGAAAATAGAACTACAACTGATTTGTTTTTGGGCTCACCGCCAGATGTTGAATGTGGTCTAGTTGATAGTACCTATTACACTAACTATTGTCATGATTTACAATCTACTATGCTGAAAGTTCATGATGTGGCTAGGAAACATATTCAAATAGCAAGTGACAGGTAGAAACATGGGTATGATATTAAATCAAACACAAAGCAGTTGCCAGCAGCAGTTAAGGTTGGTCAGAGTCCAAAGATGACATTGAAATGGCATGGTCCTTTTGAAATTGTGGATAGAATAGATGATTTGAGGTATCAGGTCAGGATTAAGGACAAGGATACAAGAGTCATACATCATGATCGTTTGAAGAACTATGTGTGTAATGACAATTCTAATAATGAAAATATGGAAAGTGATGCTATTGACGATGAAGTTGAAATTATCAAGTCAAATGGGAATGGAAGGCATAGGGCTCGCAGAAAGCCAGCTTGGATGGATGAACATGAGATTTATTAGATTATTCTTCAAAAGACTTGTTAATGATTATTTATTTCAGAAGTGTAAATCTGTATGCAAGCCACCAGAGGGAAGGGTGATCAAGAGGCCATGGCTATGTTTGAGAAAATTTTGTTCACGTGATGCATTGTGGATGCACATTCAGTTTACGCATAAATTAACTTTGCGCTGTGAGCAAATAGGTTGCAATTTCGTTTATTCAGAGGCAGAGAGAGCTGATTTGATACGTCACCAGAGAGAACACCAAGTGCATTACCCAAGTTACGTGGGACTTGACCAAAGTAGTATCAGAGATGTAAATACCCCCATAGTGGGGAAGATAAGAGCAATACCAAGCACATTGGCTTCAAGCTCTTCAGCTGCAGATGATACATGCCGACAAGAAACTCAGTAGCTCCGAACAAGGACGATACAAGTTCCGATACAGATACTGCGTCAGAAAAGTCAGAAGCAACTGTAAGTGCCGCTGACACGGAACCTTATGGAGAGGACGAGCCTTTGGGTGACATTATGGATATCATACAAAATGAGGAGAAGGACATATCCGATATAATGAAAGCAAATGAAGTAGAACTAGACAGGACATTTGAAAACCTACCAGATTTGGGATTTGACTTTTAAGAGTAATGATTGACTGTTATCTGATACATAAACTTTTGAACATTGTTTTTTCTCTTTCTTTTGAATTTACACTTCATATTTCTAAAACATGTATAAGTATTAGGATTGTGAGGAAGAAGAAAATAGATAAAGGACATACATTGCCATAATCTATACACAGAACTTTTGTGTTTATTTCAAATTATACAGTCTTGTATTGTATTGTATTATAGTATTGTAACCCTTTCAAATATCTGTTGATTATCCCTGTTTATAACTGATTCAAGAGCGTGGCACGGAACGAACGAACTTAAGTTTAGTTGTTGATGTGGCAATACGTGTCTGACGTCACGGGTGATTGCATCATATTCCAGTCACGCCATTTTACGACATTGCATAATTTTAGCTGATTTTGGCTTCATTTCACTTTATTTGAAAGACTTTTAAAAATATAATAATGAGTCAGTATTTTTTTTTATAAATATTTATATTTGAATTTGAGGTCAAAGTCCGAAAATTTGATCAACTGATTGAAATCACATTTTAAAGAGGTGAAGAATTGAATAATTACAGGAGCAAACGTGATCGACCAGAATGCCCTAATACGTCACTTCCGCTGAATAGAAAAAAGTAGTTTTCAAAAATAAATGTATTCCCAACACAATTGTGATCATGACGAGTCAGTAAGCTAGTATGTAGGATTTTTAATATTTAGGACATTTGTTACTCAAAATAACCCCACAAAGTTAAGGCTTTGATTCTTTGGGGATTTGCTAAACAATAGCATACACATAGAATTTGTACTAATGTTATTAGAATTTACTCACCTTTTTATGTTTTTCGTATCGACAAGACATTAATAATCATCAACATGCTATCAAATATAGCCCTCTAAGTGTTGTATTCATTCTTGTAATGACGATTTAATACAATATTTCTAAAAAAGTTTTTCAAATTTCATGCGCAGTCGATATTTTTTATCTAAATAACAAACTTCGCGTAAATACGAAATCCAAAAGTAAAAATGGAGGAAAATTTTGAAAAATGATTTTCACCTTCCAGGGTGTATTAAAAGGACTGTCAACCTCAAGTTTGGCCGCTGTAACATCTACGGCCTTTGTTTTCCTGAACTTAGGCATAAGCAATAATTTTGTTATTAATTTGACAGGTGATTTCGTCTGGCACTATTAAGTTTCCCATCTACCACATAATTCCACCCAAACTGCATGCGCGAAAATGGCAAAAATTTGAATATATTTCGAGAGTCAAATATTACAGCAAATTGTTCCAGTTATAAAGCATTGTTTCGACTGATCGATCGCTCATTACATTGGAAAAAGAATCTTCTTTTCAGGAGAGAAGAAAAAAGGTAAGGAAACTGCCGATATTGTCAGAACTTGAATCTTCAAATCATGTGAAAAAACCGCAAAGAATCAAAGCCTTAAATTTATGGGGTTATTTTGAGAAACAAATGTCCGAAATATCAAAAAAACTCAAAATAACCCCACATTTATTAAAATAAAAAAATATGAAAAAAATATGGTCAACTGTTCTCTAGATTCAATTTTTGAATGAATCGTATCATAATGTACAGATTATTTGATATCATGCTATTCTTGAAACATTTATACGCAAAAATAACTGGGTCGCTCACCAATTCATCAATTCTCGTGAGTAAAATTTCTCCAGGCCATTGAAAGGTCTACTCAGTAAATTGACAATTTCTACTGTGCATGTGTCATGACCTACTTCAGGTTGTGAAACACTGGACGAAATGGTTTGGTAAATTTCAAGCTATTTGATTGGTCGAAAAAAACCTGAGCCATGTTTCCGGGTACCGTTGTGCGCATGCGCGCCTTTGCGTGATTTGCTTTATTCTCGCGAGATAAGGCACTCCGTCCCCTTAAATTTTTATTTTGAACAACCATTATGATTTGGTGCATTATCTGACCAATAAAGCAGATTTGGAGGTATGAATATTTTTTTTATTTTTCTGTTTAGTGTTTTCTACAGGCCCTATGTGTCTCAGGATATTTGTTTAACGAAAACTAGACAAAAATTTCATTTTAAAAATACATATTTTTTATTTTGGATGGAAGCTGCATAACCTGACAAATAATATAAGTAATATTGTAGAGACCCACCCTGTATATAGCTATTTATAATATCATATTTAATCAGTGTGTGCCCCTTTAATATCTATAATCAGTATCTAATCACATCATGTCCCTTTAACATGATCATTTCATTTCAAGACGTAGGCCTGGACCATCATATCAGAGCCAGTATATTTATAGAAAAAACCTATTTATCATTGTAAAACGCTGAATTTGCAGTCTCAACTTTGCGTCACTTTTCAAAGTGACATCTTTTTTTAGTCCCTACCTCAAAATTCTTGTCCAATAAGCTGCTCTTTTTGCCCTTCTTACTACCTTACGTAGCCCTAAAAATCTTGGTAATATCCCATTTTTAGTAACATTACATATATTTCTCCCTACGTCGTCCCCAAGATTACGTATGTCCATTTGTCACTATATAAACAAGTGTATTGTGACGAAATTGTGATTTTCATTTTTGTTTGATTTTGTATTTTGAGTCAGTTGGCTCATTTGGAGAGTGAGATGGCTCATGCATGTACCATATAGAGATATATTTGCTCTGTTGCCCAGGGAACCCTTGGAGTAGAATGGTACAACCTGTATGAATGGAATGTTAGCCAGACAGAAGAAGAAAGGTCAACAGGATGCCTGGATTATGGCTCATGAATATTACCCAGAATGCAACACCAAATGGATAAATAAAGCAATCCAGCCAATCAGAGGGTTTCCCGCCGCATATAATTAATGAAGTGAGATAGGACAGAATTTGGCATGATGTGCGCAGTCTAGCTTTTTGTGTCGAAGTATCAAGAGCTGTACAGTGATTTTAGTGATGATATAGCCGGAAGGTGATGGAACAAACTGTTTTATGACGGGATATTGCAGTTTTTGAAGCCATTGAAGAAGCTGAAGGATTCCGAAGTGGAGAAAGGACATTTTTGGAGTATATTTGCGTGTTGTACTGTTTTGTAGGACGTATACAAACAGTGATTTATTGGATTATTAGCTGCTTGTGTGTTGGCAACCAGATCTAGGATTGGCAGAGATATATTCGTGGATTATATAAGTTGCAGTCTAGAGGCGCCTTGGAGACACCTTGCAGAGTTGCTGTTTGTGAGTGTTTATTGATTTATGTTGATCCTTTCTCTGATAGATTTGATGTATTGATCCTTGTGTTCAGCGTAGCCATTTTGTGACTTCATTTCTTCTTCTTCGTCTTCTTCCCATAATTCATTGCGTGTCCGCCATCTTGGATGACTTCCGGGAGGCGTGTTACTCTGGTCTAATCTCAGTTTACTGATTGACATTCCTGAGTTATCTCGCCCAGAGCTGTTGTGTTCTTGTTGGAGAGACGTACTTACTCCCACATAGGTGTGTGAGTTGGGTCTAATCTCCTCCTTGATTGATATTCCCTACTCATCTCACAAGAGTGGCGATTCGAAGCAAGAGGGGCTCCCACTGACGTGTGTTGACTACTCCCAGGAGAGGGACAACTCCGAGAGAGAGAGAGTGTGTTCCTATTGATGAGAGTTGGCTACTTCTGAGAGTTGGCTACTTCTGAGAGGTGACGACTTAGAGCAAGCGTTCTTCTATTGAGGTAGTTATCTGTGTCAAGGGAGAGAGAGTGACAACCAGGAGTAAGAGTGCTTCCCCTCACGTGAGCTGATTAGTCTCAGAAGTGAGACAACTTTGACAAAGAGGTGACTGACCATTGAGGTGGCTGACCTGCTAGCACAGAGACGGAAATCTCGGTTCTAATCTCATCTTTGATTGATATTCCCGAGTTCTTCTGTCCAGAGCTAGAATTCGCCTATTGAAGGTGATTTCCACCCATGCAACAGAACAGGCAGAGCCGAGCATAGCTGACAGGCAGAGCTGAGTAGAGCAGACAGCTAGAGTAGAGCAGACAGCTAGAGTAGAGCAGACAGCTAGAGCAGAGTAGAGCAGACAGCTAGAGCAGAGCAGAGCAGACAGGCAGAGTCGAACAGAGCAGACAGGCAGAGTCGAACAGAGCAGACAGGCAGAGTCGAACAGAGCTGACAGGCAGAGTCGAACAGAGCTGACAGGCAGAGTCGAACAGAGCTGACAAGCAGAGTCGAACAGAGCTGACAGGCAGAGTCGAACAGAGCTGACAGACAGAGCCGAGTAGAGCAGACAGGCAGAGTAGAGCAGAGCTTACAACTAGAGCGGAGCAGACAGTCAGAACAGAGTAGAGACAGACAGGCAGAGCTAGAGTGTTGTTGATTCTCAGTGTATATAGAGTATTTATTGAGTTGTTGAGCCATAAAGGCATTTGAGGACATTTTGTTATTTTATTGTTATATTATAGTGTTCAATAGATTATTAAAATCCTGTAATTGATTGTTTTGTACATTCCTGTGTTCTCCATCTCCTAGCTCAGTGACAGCCGAAGCACCAAACCAGCTCAGCGCCCGTGAGAAACACCTCCGAATCCCTTATCATCGCCACCAGACCTTCTCCGAGGGAGTACGGGTACTCGGCGGGAGTCTGGCACGCGACAGTATTTTGCGGATACCATGTAACAATTCCTGCACAGCTGAACTCGAAATCTCCTATCATCTGCTAAACGCACTCAGCGCTCAGCGCTCGCTAGTCGTAACTTTCAGCTAAAAAAAAAACGCTCTGAAGTCATCAATGGATGTAGTTTTGGACACGCGTAGAGGTGTCCACGTCTGGGTAAGTTAACTACAGTACTGTATAGAAATCTATAAGCACTTATTAGAGAAGTGGAGAGATTTAAGACAGTAATTGAATCGTAATTGAACTTTGAGG